GACATGGGTGTTGTGCACATCTGTGAAGGCACTATTAATGCTGAATGATACTATATACATGTTTTGGCAACATATGCTGCCATCCAGACGACGTCTTTTTCAGGGAAGGCCTTGATTATTTCAGCAAGACAATGTCAAACCACATTCTGCACGTATTACAACAGCATGGCTCCATATTAAAAGAGTGTGGGTGCTAAACTGACCTGCCTGCAGTCCAGACCTTTCACCCACTGAAAACATTTGGAGTGTTATGAAATAAAAAATATGACAAAAAAACCCTGAACTCTTGAGCAGCTGAAATTCTAAATCAAACAAGAACAGGAAAACATTTCTTAAGGAAAACATTTCTTAAGGAAGTGTTCTGTGACATTCTCACTGTCTTTAAGTGTGAGATTAAAGACATCTTTTGGTTAAGGAGCCTTCAATTGCCGTTTGTTTATGTTTGATTCTGGCCTGTTTCCTTGGTAGTCCTTTGTTCTCCCTCCCACAGTAGTGTTTAGGCAGGAATTCAAAGTTTCTAGGCTCATTGTTTAAAGGATGCTCCCGTTGAGCTTATTCTATCTCTTTTGTGGTGGTGCAGCGGTAGCACATGCACCTTCCACCCAGAGTGAGCCCCACTTCTATCCTTAGCTGTATTCCTTTGTCTAAGTAGTTCTGCATTAGGGCTGTTTTTGAGCCTTTGTTGGTGACACACTTGGTTTGAATTTCCCTCTAAGTGAGTCACCCATTACATCTCTTTGCCACACAGTATGTAATATCTTCTTTAATACATTTCACATAATATTATGAGAATATAACCACATAATATGAGAATATAACCAGTATAGTAATTCTACAAACAACTGCTACCCATAAAACACACCAGACACCTGCTGATTTTCTCTTCACATGTGCATGTTTTCATTCTTAATTTCATGTTTCTCTGTTTACAGAACTTATAAGAAGTATACCTGCAGTGAAAGAACTGGAAAGAGGTAAAGTGAACTTTATTTACTATTTTTATTTTAGAAATTAGCCTATATATATATATATATATATATATATATATATATATATATATATATATATATATATATATATATAGCAGTGTTGAGCTGAAGGAGAACCACACAAGTAAACAGTGAAACAGCAGATCTATTCACAAACAGCATTCTGAAATGGGTATTTGGGGATGTGGGTAAGAATCTAGACTGAACATGAAAAGAGGCAGCAGCTCCAAAATTGTTCTGTGAAGGAATGTGAGACGTGTGGATGTAAGAGATTAGCTGATTGATGGTGGTATCAGGAATCTAATTCATTTAATGTTGCTTACGTTCCAGCCTCCCGTGAACCACTCTTAGTGCAAATGCTAAACAGGAAAAAAGGTTTTCCTGACTAAGTACAGGCACTAAATCCTATCCTCATTTGGTTGTGGTTGTATACAGCTTCATCCCTTTACTGACTAAATGCAACTGAATGATTTCATCTGTCCCAAATTGTAAGGGTTGGCTCCAGGGCTAGGCCACCGCCAGGCACCAGGGCGAGTCAACGACCCAATCCAGCCAAATGAGCCACATCTGCTCAGGGGGCTTTATAAGGGCTGGCAAGAAGACACACTTTGCTGAGTCTTTGACCGGCTGGTAATTTCAGGTAGAAGCTCTAGAGGGAATTTCTCTCGAGCTTCTTTCTCTCTGTCACTTCTCGAGCCTATTCTCTTTCTCGAGCTGTGTAAACGTAAAGCAGGAGAAGGAACAAGTTTATCCCTTTCTCCTCTTCGTTCTCCTTCGGGCATTCTCTTCTGTTGGGAAAGTAGTTTTTCAGTTAGCATTTCCTCAGTCAGTCTTTCCCCTGGCGTCCTTTGTTCTGTTCCCGCCTAAGCCTTAGTAGGTGGGTTTTCATAGTGCCTTTTGTTTTCTACCTGTTTTCGGGCGTTCCCTTTTAAGGCGAACCCTTCCTGCACCACGTGACGCAGCCTCTGTAGTGCAGTGGTAGAACGCCGGAATACAATGTATAAAAACAGAATACAATGATTTGCAAATCCCATAGATGCATATTTTATTCAGACTAGAACATAGAACACATATCAGATACTGAAAATGAAACATTTTACTATGTCATGAAAAACATTAACTCATTTAGAGTCACCAATAGCAACAATAGCACAGCATCAACACCACCCCCGAGTGTTCTGGTCTTATCTAATGCTCTGCAAACCACAGCAGAAACGGTGGAGAATGCTGTACTGTGATCTAAAGGGTTATTAATGGCCTGTGGTAATGTATTGCTTTAACAAGTTTGGCTCAGTAAAAAATACAACATTATTTGATTTGTTTTTAAATTATTTTAAAATGAGTCAAATTAAATTTGACTCATTTTAAAGAATTTTAAAGTCAAGTGGATGACCTCATATACAAGGTCTGTAAAGCCAGATTCTAAAGACTTAAAATGTTCTAGATTTTCATTTCTTAGTCTGTGTATTCTAGAAAATGATGGAATGTACCACAAAATGTACATTCAAATTTAATAATATTTTGTATTCTGTCATGTTTATTTTTTTTAATAATTGGCAACATATGGATCTTTATTATTTTATAAAGATTTTGTGAGCTGTGGTGCTGAATGATGTGGTTGTGTAAGCTGAATGATGTGAATGACTACAGCAATATTACGCAGTCATCAGGGGTGTTCTATGTGATAAACAGCATCACGTGACTACTGTTATTTGATGTTATTTAAAAATGTTTGGTTCAAATTAATTTTAACTTCTTAGTAAAACACACCCTTTGTTAACCATGATGCCTTGGCATCATTAACCTTTAACAGTCAAACTTTGGGTATAATAAAGAAACTGGAGTTCTGTAATTAGACAGAATTCATTAAATTAAATTAGACAGAATTAATTAGATCTGTAATTAATTAATGTTAATAGTGGTAAAACAATAGCAATTAAAAACACCACAGTATGAGTCTTGCAGAATAACATTTGTACAAATTGTACAAATTAATCTCTGTGGCATTTATGCTTTTACTTTTTTTAAATAAAACAAATGTGATGTTTTGATGATTTTAATGGCAGCTATTTTGAATGACATTTTTAAACTTTAGAAATTATTGATTTCTCCTTTAGTATATATTTTTGTAACTACTTTAATGACACAACATAGACAAGTAGATCAATATCTTGCAAATGGTTTGTGTATATACATTTTCTGAACATATTCTGAATTCTAAAATTAAACAAACTTAAACACGTATACATACATATTTAACTATTACATCTGCTTTTTATCTTGAACACCCCATCAGTGATATCTGCTTTACCGAAGTTAGAAGACAAGTTTAATGATGCATCGATGGAAGGTGCCTTTTTTCAGTCTGAAGAGAAGCAGTATGGTGACACATCAGTGTGGGCTCGTTTTTTGAACATACTACAATTTTGCTCTCAAAGGAAATTAAGGAAAAGGCTGCAGGAGAAGGTGGAATCTTGCTATGAAGTTGAGTGAGTATATTCATTCTACACTACAGTCATATGCAATAGTTGGGTCATTGAAATGTATGACTTTGTGAAATGTAAATAAAAACAAAAAGCAGTGGTTTGTAAATCCAATTTGATTGTTTTTTTTTTTGTAAATGTATGGTCATCCTGAAATTGATGCCTACATGCTTCTGTGAAGGATATCACTGCATGGACACCGTATGGGAGTCAGGGTCTGTCATGGTATTGGGGGGTGGTGTTTGTGGGTAATTTGCACATCTGTGAAAGGACCATTAATGCTGAAAGAGATGTACACATTTTGGAGCAAAGGGACTACAAAGGACCAGTTTCAGGCAAGAGATGTGGAATTTTGGGTTAATTTGCATCGAGCAGGGAAGGAGGAGCATGTAGCTAACATCCTTGACCATGCTGGGCCACCAAAAAAGTGTGAACAAAAATGACACATGAACATTACTCCCCATCAGCACAGACCAACATGAACATTACTCCCCATCAATACTCCCCTCCACACAGACCAACATAAAGGTTACTCCTCATCAGCACAGACCAACAGTAACATGACTCCCCATCAGCACAGACCAACATGAACATTACTCCTCATAAGATATATACAAATAAATACATTACAAACTTAATTTAATAAATAAACAAAATATATAATACAGTCAATGTAATGGCACCCATTTAGAAATATTATTGTTGTCAAGTTCAAAGTGATTGTCATATGATCTTGTGCGATCCATGACTGTAAATACAGGGTGTCCCCAAAAAATTGACACCATTTGAGATGTGAATATCTGAGTAGCTACATGTCCTCTGCAAACGAAATAAAATAGGCTTCATATTAAACAATATAAGATTTATTTATCAAAATTCAAAGAAGAAATCAGAGGGATGTAGATTTTTTAACCGATTTCACGGCTTCACAAATGTAATATCTTCCAATACTGGTGGTTTTCATGATTCTTTTGCCCTGCACAGACAGCCTTCCTCTTTGAATTTTTTGTGCCATGTCCAAAACTGCTTTCCAGTTGGTGCATTTGTATTGATTTTTCTCAAAAATGCCACTGCACACACTTGTTTGACAGTGTTCGAACAAATTCTAACATACAAAATGCCTTTTCATTTCTAATGAACGCCATTCTTCAACCTGAAAAAAAAAAAACATTAAAAATTAAACTTGGTTCATTTTTGCACATTTTGTTAGAATTTGAGATCATTTGTGGTAGATTTGGCTATGTTATTACATTATGAAATTATGTCAATTATTTGGGACACCCTGTATAAGGAGAACAGTCATTTCTCCTTACACTGTTTTGCAGTTTGATTTGTGCAGTAGTTGATATTTTGTGTTATTGATATTTTGTGTTTAAAATAGATTTATAAAACCTGTTTTAGTTTACATATGTGTGTGTGTGTGTGTGTGTGTGTGTGTGTGTGTGTGTGTGTATGAGAGAGAGAGAGAGAGAGAGAGAGACTGAGAGAGTGACTACAGTGTCCTGATGTATCATCATTTCTCTTCCAGGCTGCGTCATTGTGGTCTCACAGAGAAAAGCTGTGCAGTTCTGGCCTCAGCTCTCAGATCAAAGAACACATCACTGAGAGAACTGGACCTGAGTGAGAATAAAGTGCAGGATTCAGGAGTGAAGAAGCTCTGTAAGGGACTGAAGAACAAATACTGTAAACTGGAGATACTGAGGTAAGATCATTATCTGACTACACGCTCTGTACACTACCTCTCTCTGTTTCTCTCTCTCTCTCTCTTTTTCACATTCTCTCTCTCTCTCTCTCTCTCTCTCTCACTCATACACATACACACACATATGTGAGGTTCAATCTGTTACTCATTACTTCTTTGTGTATTGTGTATATGTGTGTTTGTGTTGAGCTGTAATTGTGAAGAATTTTTCCTCCTCTCTACAGGCTGGAATACTGCAGTATTACAGATAAAGGCTGTGTTGCTCTATTTAAAGCTCTGAAAGCAAACCCCTCACACCTGAAGGAGCTGAATCTGAACAACAATGATCTAGGACACTCAGCAGTGAAGAAGCTCTCTGAAGTACTGAAGGAGGAAAGCTGTAAACTTGAGAAAATAGAGTGAGTTACTGACTTACTACTTCTACATCCCTGTCTTTAAACTAATTAAATAACCCAACAACACTATCATAAGAGTTACCAGTAGACCTATATAAAACCTCCAAATCTATTTGCAATCTCTATTCAACACAGTTAGCAAAACATTAGGGTTTTTAAGCCATTATAATGCTAAACCTGTAAAGGAATGGGCTCTAAACATTAAAACACAGACCCTAGGAAAAGAAAAATAAGTAAATTGGCATCAGATGCTGTATCGGTATCTTGGTCTGTGGTAGGGGTTAATTGATTGGGGTTAGATTCAGACAACATGTATGCCCAGGCTCTAACTTGACAAGCAAAGCATTTGCTATGGTTAGTAGCAAAAGGTATGGTCCGTGATATGTAGTAGTCACAGAAACATTTAGATTTAGATTTAATGCATCAGTTGCCCTTTCTTTTTAAAATTTTTGATTTTGATTTTTTGCATTTTTAGCTACTCCGTTATGTTCCAACCTATGATATGAGCTAGTGAGTGCATACTCAGTGTCCACCTCAGGAAGTGTGCCTATTTGGTTATCAATGAAGAGCTGAATTCATCAATGACACCATCACTCCCATAACCACAAATATTAACCCTTTGGGGTCTGGGGGCATTTTCTTGATTTTTGCATATATTTTTAAATTCACCTTTAAAGGCATCTGCTTATGACTTGATACCCACATATTACAAATCAAAATGTTCAGAACAGTCTCAGCTCTCTTTATAATGCCCTTTCGACCTGGAACAATGGTGTGTATGAAAAAAATAGTAGATAAATATTCTACTCATCGCTATTTTCCAAAAATGCTGCAGCAACTTTTTACACACCACTTGTTTTTTTTCTGCTGAGGTGACTAAACAAAAAATTAATTGTTTTCAACGTGATGGGTCAGTCCTTAGAGATTTCCTGCAGAAAAACAATAAATCCCAGCTATTCACAAACAAAACTCTGTAGGCCTTTTCTTCATCAAAATACAAAAATTCAGTGACAAATCTGGGCCATTTTGTTTCCTCTGAGCGTATGGTGTGTGCCACAGCAAGCAAGACAGAACTTAAAATACCAGTAGTCTGCATAATTCCACTTTAAAAAATGGTGAAGCCCCTGCCTGCGAGCAGAGCTTCAAAACTCATGGCACATGATCCAACATGTATGCCATCTTATTCCACAGGCCACCTGTTAAGACTACACTCAAAAAAAAGACTCTTTAAATTTACTTTTTTTTCTTGCATCAAAAGGTTACATGATTTGTTAAATTATCTACATTCGGATATAATTTTTGAATAACATTCACTCGTTAATTATAAGCAATGTCAACTGAAATATATTTTTTAGAATTTACTTTAACAGTGTTATAATAAAACAGAACCAGCCAGATGCTTAGGGTAAAAGTTAAGAAATTAGGCTTTACTGAGAAAGGGCTTGACAATACTCATAGTGGAAAGAGAAGCAGTGGTCAAATCCAAAAAGGCCAAAATACAGAAAAAAACAAACATAACAAACAATATCAGGCAATCAGATCCAAAAGGGCAAAGGCAAAAAGACAAAGTAAAAAGTTCCAAAAAAACATGGTCAAGAAACACAGAAGGCAAAATACGGACAGAAATGCTAAGTAGCTCTAAGGGACTTTAGACTAATTAGACTTTGCTAAAGCCTGGGCTTGTATACTAAACTACAGCTGGTCAAATGACATATGATACAGGTTACACTGTAAAAAGTGGCTTGTCAGATCTACTTTTAAAAAAAAATACTTTGTTTTAACAAGCAATTGAACTAGTTTTATTCAACTTAAAACATTTACTTTTACAAGTCATCTTTGAAACCTGTTCAAAGACTAGCACATTTTGAACAAACTCTCACACAAAACATTTGCTTGAATTTTAAGAGATGTTGACAAATACAAATGCAACAATCATTATTGTTCCATATGACTTCAACAGTGTTCAGAGTTCATGGTTTTCAAAGTAGGAACTAGTAATGATAAATTAGGTTCCTTATATTTCCAGAATAGACCAAAGTCTACTTCGACTACACTTGGATTTTGTTCTACAAACCAAGATTGTTAGGTGTGAGCTTTGCACCATCCATGTGCAGGAGGATTTTCTGTACAAATTCATAGTAGTATTTCAGCTCTTTGGGCTAAGCAAAATTCAGTTCATGGATAATTTCAAGCATTACTGCACAGATGCAACAGATTTGATGTTCCCCAGAATAATGTCTCTGTATACGACAGTGCTGACATCTTCAAATTCTCCAAGAGCTCCACCCTCTATTTTGATGACATAAATGCCCATTTTAGTGTTTTGCTGCTAATGCAGGATGTCTTCACCTTGAATTTCCTGCAAATTAATCTTGTTATAAATACTTACTCCATTGTACAACTTGTTCCCTAAAGAGTAAGTTCACCCTATTTCACATTTGAGCTCTTCTAAATACTTATCGTATGATTTTCCAGGCTGTTTTCTCTGCTGTATTTTGCTTCTTTTGTGGCTTGTCAATTCACTGTTGCATAACACTCACAGTTAATTTACAACCACCGACCTTTGAAAGTCACTTCTTCTCTCGTCTTATTCTTGAGACCCCTGGAAAGAACCCAATTCAGTCGACAAAACAACGTGAGTATCAGTATTGCAGACCGCGTCTGTTGCTTTGCACTCTGAGTGCTGCATGCTTAGTTATGCTTCTCTCTCCATCACTAGTGACAGCAGTGTTACTAGCTTTGTTTGTGAGTAGTGTAAGTTAGTTTCATGTTTGACTGAGAAGATTATACACTTAGATGTGCATCCAGAAGTTAAAAAAGAGCAGGACTGGTCAGCAGGGCTCAGACTCACTGTTAAAAGCTCTGTGTGCCTCAGGGAGAACAAGCACACCCTCGACTCTGGCAGCAGAGCCCTCACAGCGGGGCAATAGCTGCAAAGCTAAAGCTAAAGCTACCCCACGCGAGCACCATTCATCACCCATTCACGTGTCCAACAGGTTTGCTCCACTCAGTGAGACATTGTCAGAGACTCTATTGAAAGAGCTCTGGTCATAGGTGATTGTATTTTACATCACATGAAAATAGTGACCTTATAGAGCCCTTAGGGCCGTCAGTAGCAGTGAACTGAATACTGGGAGCCAGGGCACCGGACATTACGGGGAACCTGAGGCTGCTAGCCAGCTGTAGAGATTTGAGGATAGTCATTCATGTAGGTACTAATGACGTTTATCTGTGGCAGTCAGAAATAACTAAAGATAACATTAAAGAGGTGTGTAAATTAGCACAGACGATGTCCAATGCCATATTATGCTCTGGCCTCATCCCAGTTCTACATGGTGCCGAAATCTACAGCAGGTTATGGTCGCTGAATTGCTGGTTGTCCAAGTGGTGCTCAGTTAGACAATGTGGGATTTGTAGATAATCAGTCTACATTTGAGGGCAAGCCTGGTGTTTTGAGTCAGGGTGGTATCTACCCCTCACGGGAGAGTGCTGCTCTCATTTCATGTAGTTTAGCGCGTACTCTCTCAGATAGCCATCAGTGTAGGATAGTTAGTCGCTGACAAACCAGGGCCAGGCAGACAAACAGGCTAAAACAATGGTCTACGAGCTGCCTTAAGACGCCACAGGTTCCACCCAATTGAGACTGCATTTGTCCCTGAACACAGCGTTAAAAATCCTTGAAAGTTTGCTCTAGTAACTTGATTAATATCAGACCAGTTTTACCAGCTTGCTGTTACAGCACCTTTGGTCTAAAACTAGGACTGCTTAACATAAGATCTCTTACATCTAAGCCATCATTGTAAATGAAATTATAACTGATCATGATTTTGATGCTTTGTGCCTCACAGAAACGTGGATTAGACCCAATGAACACTTTGGTCTAAATGAGGTGTGAGCCAGAAAGTAGGAAACAATTATCTTTTTTTGAAGTTCTTTTTTCTTAATGTAAGTGATCAAAGAACAATAAGAATTCCTTTTCACTCATTACAATCTACAGGCTGCCAGGGCTGAATTCTCAGTTCTTACAGGAATTCTCTGACAGTCTACCAAGTTTAATAACATTTTCAAATAAAGTACTACATGTCGGAGATTTTAATATCCACTTTGATAAATCTCAGTAAGTAAGGCATTTATTTCTATCTTAGACTCTGTAGGTTTCACCCAAAATATAAAGGGGCCACTCATTATAGCAGCCACACTTTAGACTTAATTCTGACCTTTGGTGTACACATAGATAACTTGTGTCCTGAAACCTGTGTTCTGAAACATGTAGAAGAGCTGGTTGATGTGGAGAGAGAGTGGAGAGAGAGAGGAAATGTGCAGACGACTTTAATAATGGCATTATTGGAGAAACAGCTCTGTGTTTGACACTTTTATAATATTCTGTTACAAACTGTCTTTTCACTCTTGTTTTGTATGATTTTGTTTATAAGACACATTAATCAACACTGCTGAATCACTGCATGTTTTGATGCTGTGTAAATCCTCACTCTGTAAAAGATTTCACTGTGAAAATACAGTAAATTACTGCTTACTAGTTTTGTCACTTTCACAATAAATTAATGAACCATATTAACAGTAAATTACAGTAAAATACCAGCTGTATACTGTGAATATACATTCACCTGGACTGGATGTTTTTTTACTTAACAACTGTAAAAGTTATGTAAATTTAATATTCAGTAATGTACTACACAATTACATGTGAAACAACATTTAAAAAAAAAATATATTACTGAACATATTCATCCACCATGTTTTGCACTGTATTCACAGAATATCTCAAACATGCATTTTTAAAATGTAAATTCACCTTTAACAAACATGTTTATTTGTTTATAGTTTGCACAAACTAAAATCTTATATCTTGCAAATCTAATAATCAATAACATTTCTGTCAACTTTTCCATGTTTCAGCATTTAATAATATGAAACACAATATAAAACTTTAATCATATTTAAAACATCAAGACATTAATCAATTTAACTCTCACTTGCTGTCATATCCCATAATGCTCAACTTCTTCCCCACTGTAAGTTGCTGTGTAATTTGTGCACACACCAGGGCTATGGGAATCACAGGGCAAAGATCCACCACTTCCTTTTCTTTTTGGTTTGCCTCCAAGCCTGTTTTCACACCTAGTTTGTTTGCTAAAGATCCTACCCAAGTTTGAAACTTTTTTTTTATTTAAACTTTCATTTAAAATCATAGTGAGATCCAGGTACATCCCTCAACTGTATTCATGATAAAATGTATGGCCAAACCTACTGCATGAAAAAGACCTGATTCAGTTCACTGCTGGTGGTAATGCATTTTTTACATCCGAACCAAATGAGAGAACTGAACATAAGTATGCTTTTAGTGCACATCAGAGATCAACTGTCTGCATAATATGTCTGTTTAACATTTAATAAAAGCTCAGATTGCTCTTGCAGCACAAGCTGCTGATAATAACGGCAGATGATCTATAAGATAATGGCAAAGAGAAGCTTTTGATTTTAGGGTTTTAGGAAGTGGCTTAGAAACTGTGTGTGTGTGTTTGTGTGTGTGTGTGCTTTTGATTTTGGTGCATGGAGCATATTTTTGGACACATAGATAAAAAGCATCTTTGTTTTCTGTTTTCATGTTGGCAAATATGAGAGTTTTAGAGCACTTACCTCCCTGCAAAATTTCAGACCTAACAGAAAAAAAGCTGATATTCTTCAGACGTGTTAGCAAACTTGTCTATCTGAGTGTGAAAACAAACACTGACACTGTTTATCAGTAGGGTTATAGACATATGTTATTACAATACATGTTAATTTTAGTCTATCAGTGGCCTAGTTGCATTTGCCACTTAGCCAGATGTTGTTGTTTTTTTTGTTGTTGTTTTTTGCCCCACCACTTTGGAAGGTGTGGCACCACCTCAACACGCGCGCGCACACACACACACACACACACACATTTTCACTGTTTTACTCACACTTTTTTCTACCCACACAGTAAAAAGGATTCTCTCTGATTGTGTGTGTGTGTGTATGATTGAGATTGAGAAAGAGAGGGGATGTTGTAAAAATTGCCTTATGTTAGTCAGTCTGTTACTCATTACTTCATTACTTCAATGAACTGCAATTGTGAGAAGTTTTTCTTCTTCTCTGTGCAGGCTGGAATACTGCAGTATTACAGATGAAGGCTGTGCTGCTCTGTTTGAAGCACTGAAATCAAACCCCTCACACCTGAGAAAGCTGAATCTGAACCACAATGAACTAAAAAACTCAGCGGTGAAGAAGCTCTCTGAACTACTGAAGGAGGAAAGCTGTAAACTGGAGAAACTAGAGTGAGTTACTGACTTACTGTCCTATATTCCTGTCTTTAAACTACTTAAACTACATGTTTTCAGTTTGATTTAATTGTTTGCTATAATTTTTTTACCATTAGTTGACTTGTTCCTGTAAATAGCATTACCTAGCTGGATCAGTTTCATCTTTCCTCTGCCTCAATCAGAATCAACATAAAATTAAATCCAATAAATTAAATACAGAAAAAAATATATAGATATACACAAAAAATAGTACACAATAGTAAAATAGTACACAAATATAAGGATTTGCAATGGAGATAGTATAGCTAGGCCAAATACTGGAGTGCAACTATAGCAGCAAATATAAATGCAAAGATTTTTTAATAAAATGTGTATGCAACATCAAAATAAAGTGCATATGTGCACTGACTACAGAGAGGAGAGTGGAAGAGGGCCTTATTCAGAAGGATAATGGCATGTTATATACAGTGGTTATGTAGATTACAGTACATGTAATAGTGCATGTGCAGCAGTTTAAAGCATGGGGATGTGGGAAGCTCCTTGTTTAGGAGGATGATTTTCTGGGAAAAGAAGCTGTGGCGGCTGGTCTGAGTCTTTTAAGGCTCTCACTCTTGGTCTCTTCCGAGATGGAAAGCACTGGAAGAGAAAGTGACCAGTGTGTGAGGGGTCTTCCTCTCCCTTATCCTCATCCCACAAAAAAATTTACTACTTACTAATACTTTGGAAATGTAGTACAGTTTTTCAAGTTGTGAGCAGCAGTGGCGCACTCACTTGAGTATAGGTGTGTAGCAATACACTGTGATCTTGATTCAATTTGATTCACGGTCCTGACCTCACAGTTTGATCTCTAATGATATTTTCAACAAAATTTGAACAAAGAGAGATTATGAAAAGCATTCATTTTGGGGTTTTAAGTTGTGCTGCTGTATCAGTTTCATCAAATTTAAATAACTAAGCGCTATATTAAATTGCAAAACAAATAAAACAAACAAGCTCACTGAGCTTAATTATTTAAACATATAGGCTTAGTTTACATTCCTAAACTAGGATACTGAGTTTTTTTTTCCCACAAATGTCAACATGTCCACATTTTCAGGTAGAAGCTGTGATCTTTGAACACTTACAGTGTCTCCAACTGTTTTAAAAACTTGTTTACTTGGAGCAGAAGTAGCCAGAAGTGAGAGGTATTCTTTGACCAAAAGGGAGAGCAGTGGGTAAAACTGGCCATTTTTGTTCCACCACTAGAGGCGACACCTGATCAGTAGAATAGGAGGTTCTTTTCTGTACATTTGAATTTCTGCCTCTGTCCCACTGCTGGTCGGTGCTGCTGTTAGTTCAGTAAACAGTCCCTAAGCAGACCTTCTAGTGCTGTCCTTTTGAGAGCTTGTTACTAATTAGATCCATGAGCTGTGTCCAGCAGTTCATATTTGTGGTGTCTATCTGTGACCCTTGCTTCCATATTGTATGTTTGGAGCTACCCAGAGTATCAATTTCACTGGCATTTCGATGTATAAATGGAACACGTATATCATCCATCTTCACAGTGCGCATAGTTACATTTTTGCATTGCAGTGTGATGTATAGTTACACCCCTGCCGTGGTATATAATTTATAAAATACTATGTTAAAACCTTCGAGCCCCACAGCCTGACCACAGGGTAGTGATTGGATTGCCTCAGTAAAATCTTGTTGTTGAACTCCAAATCTAACTCTTTTCTGTCCTTCTGTCAGTTTAAAAATATCAATAGTAATGAGAAAATCCTCTATCGCAGAATCAGGCAATTGATGTTTGAAGGTATACAAGTTAATTTAATACTCTTTGAAACAAGAGTTGATATCTTTGGGATTGGGTTAGAGCATCGGAGGTGGCTTTAATCATATGTATTGCCCTAATTGCCTTTGTTCCTCTCAGTTGTCTAGCCAGTAATTTTAAAGGCACCAAACATGAAGTGTTATTAATTTAACTTGAGTAAAACATTAATAACGGTGTTGCTCATTATGATGTTATAGTCATATTTTTAATTTTAATATATCTTGTCATTACATAGTGAAATCGAAATATCACTGTAAATGTTTAAATTGGTGGAATTAGGATTGTAAAGCAGATTAAACATCTTACGAAAAAGTCTGGACTGTCCACATTAGGCCCATAAATAAAAATGTCAGGTTGTATGTGTTGTTTAGGCAAACTATCAAAAAAAGGTATTTCAATTACATACAATTATAAATAAAATATTTGCCATGAAACATTTTGTTTGAAAACATCTAAATCAAAACCATGTTGTAAATTAAGGCAACTTTAAAAGTACTTGCTGCATAAAGAAGACAATGCCAAAGGTCAGTAGACCTTTAAAAATTTTTGAAAAAATGGGACTTTTGAGTTGTGCTTAGAATGGTTCAGTTTAGAGCCAGGTAAGAGAGAACCATGAAAATGTGTAATTATTATAATAATATTTGTTTATTTATTAATTAATTAAATTATGTAATCATACATTCAAATTTGCACTCAAAATTATTCAACCCCCACTGAGACTGTAAAGATTTACAAAGTCAAGCTTTTATGAAGACTAAGATAATGTTTAAACTACTTGTTTATCAATTGAGTGACCTATTTAAACTGATATATGATAATATATGATATATGACAATATATGATATCATATTTCAGTAACAGGATTATTTCTTAAAACAGCTATGTCAAAATTCTAAAGAATTTAGAAAGTAATTATTTCAAGCTGGTGACATCCAAATAATTAGGTATGAACCTACGAAAGTAGCCAGCCAGCCCCAGGAACCGTCTCATCTCCTTTTTGGTCTTGGGTCTCAGACAGGTCGCAATTGCTGCTGTCTTATCCATTTGGGGACACACCTGTCCATGACCCAAGTGGAAGCCCAGATATTGTACCTCCACCTACCCAATTGCACACTTCTTCGGGTTGGCCGTAAGCCCTGCCTATCTCAGCCACCTCAGAATAGCCCTCATTTATTGCACGTGCCACACATTCTGCGAATTCTGGTCATGAGATGCTGAAACGTCGCGAGTGCTCTGAATAACCCAAAAAGGAGAGTGACGAATTGGTCTAACCCAAACATTGTGGAGAACGCTGTTTTTTCTTGGGATACTGGAGTTATAAGTGGACCTTGATTAATGGAAGGGGGCGCAAAAGCACTTTTGGGATGGTTGGGGGTTTACAAGCTGACATTTGTGGCATAACGCACACAACCTGCGTACATCCATGTGAATGCCCGGCCAGTAGAAGCAGACCATTAAACGATTGAGTGTCTTTTCCTGTCCCAGATGCCCTGCCATACGATTATTAAAAGCTGCATGGAATAACATTTCCCTACAGCTTTTTGTTGCCAACAGCTGGGTTAAAACCTCTGACGTTTGAGTGTCCTGCATCACTCTGTATAACCTATCCTTAATGATTGAAAAATGGGAATACGACAGGGGCATTCTGGGCTTGAGTAACTGACCATCAGTAACTTTCACTTGGTCAGAGGCATGCTTCAGCAAATCGTTATGTGACTGCTCCAGAGGGAAATCCCCCAAGGGGAGCTAACAGGGTGACATGGCCAGGCTTTCGGGTTCAGCCCCACCAATAGAGGAAACACCTCCTGCCCCCCCTCACTCCGGAGCCACCACAGGTGGACACAGAAGCTCGCCTCTCTCTAATTTGGCACATGCCCCCTCACCTAATATGGCACTGCGGGACCCATCCTTTACCAAAGTTTTCACTAGTACCCCAAACTACGGCCAATTTGTCCCCAAAATAAGAGGATGGATAAGGCGAGGACAAGCACATTATGCTTTTTGCCCAGAAATTCTGTAATGGGCAGGAGAGGATTTTTGTGCACACCCCTGTGAACACAAGGTACCTTCACCCGACATGCTCTCTCCAATGCCACGTCTTGAATCAAGCATTGGTGAATTGTGCTTTGCTTACGACCAGAATCTACCAAGGCTTAATATGTACCACCTTGAATACTCACTGGTGTGCGGTATGCTCCAGCTCGAACAGGGGAGGTGGGTGATAACGTGGGAACCTGGACCAATGTCCTGACCTCCATGTGGTGGCACTGGTCCTGGAAATGCCTGGGTTCCCCATATCGCACACACCTGCCCAGGCTTCACCCCAGCTCTTGTGGGCTCAGCTGTTTCCCCCTGTGCTGAGAGAGAAGGTAGACCGTGAGTTTCTGCGGGGTGGGTGGGAGGTACAAAGGGGGGTGTTGCAGGGAGGACAAGTGTGGGGAAAGGGTTTAGGGGCTAGAGCTCCCTTTTTCTGGGCGTGGGAATAGGAACAGAAAGAGAGATAGGAGACAGATAGGAGATGTTGACTGGATAGGGGCTCCTGCCCACGAATACATCACCTGTTGCTCCGGAGTTTGACCAACCCTCTGGAGGATGGCCTTTTTCAGCTTGTCATACTCCAGCTGCAACTGACTGGGCTGTTGGGCAGCCAGTTGGGCTTCCCCCGTGAGCAGGGGCAGCAGTGCGATGGCCCAGTCCTTCTTTGGCCACCCCCAGTCTTCTGCCGCTCTTTCGAAGAGCTCCACAAATGCTTCTGGGTTGTCTTGAGAAGTAATCTTCAAGATGGAGATGGTAGCTGGAGCTGGAGTACTGGTGGCTGTCAACAAGCTCCGCAGAAGCTTCCTGTCAGCCTCTTGGCCCTGAGCCAGGGCCTCACAGCAGACCTGGTTTTCCCGCTGGATGTCCAGGAGAGCCTGATGTTGAGTTTGCTGCAGGAGAGAGAGTGCTTTAACTATCTTTCCAAGTGGTGAGGACTCCATGGCGATGTTTGTCCAATCCTCCCGGGTTTTAGCACCACTGTAGTGACTTTGAAGGGTGGAGGAGTGAGGACACTGGGAGACAGAGAGCTACGTTAATTTATACACAATACAAAAATAGAAAGAGACGGAAAGGCACATGTGAATTTCATCAGCTACCTAGCCCACTGGTTCAGCCTGGATTGAAATTTTAGTAAAAAAGAAAGCTGTGGTGGCATGGGGACTGTGGAA